TCCTAGCACGTGTGGAAGGGTCGAGGACGAGTTTTGGGATAATTGGAGGTCAAAAAGCGCAAAAACCGAAGTTCAGGCGTCCAGGAAACAGCTGCAGTTCACAGTCTCCTAAGACCGTGAACTTCAACCACAAACCGTGAACGTCAAGGCGTCCAGGGCCAAATCTGAAGTTACTGACGCCAGGCGAGTTCACGGTCTCTAAGACCGTGAAATGGGGCCATTGACCGTGAACCCAGGAGAGTGAAGCGGTGCGTTTTGGACGACACTGAGTTCACGGACGCTTTTAGGTGTTCACGGCCGTGAACTGGCCAACGCGGCCATGTGCCCTCCTCTCTAGGCTTCTTCCAAGAGTGGTACGCCAAGAGTGGTGTTCACTTGGTCTTTTGTTGCATTCTCGGAGGGTTTCTTCAATCCAAAGTGAGTTGTCTTCCTTTGATTTTTCTCTGTAAAACTAGTCTCCAAAAGTGTCTCCTCGAGTCCCTTAGTTGCTCCCCCTTTTAAGTTCATTTTCTGCAGATTTTATCCCACAAAACAAGGAACTTGCAAGTCCCATTTCCAAGAGAAAGTTGTTGCTAGCTAAAGTCTCTCTCCTTGTATTTTTTTTTTTTTTTTTTTGCATTTTTCATATATTGGCGAGCCACCAAATCCATTTGCTCAATTCAAGAAAGCTTATCTAATTCCAATGATTTGTGAGGGCTGCTGACTGTTGAGTGAAGATTCCAACAACAATAATTCAATTTGGGTCTTCATCTGTTTGGCCTCCTACAAGACGTTCGACTCTGCTCATCTGCACTTTGCCACTGCATCTGCATTCGTCCACTGCACTTTGTTTTGTTGACAATCTTAGCTTCAATCTAAGTTAAATTTCTAAAAGTCTTGGTAATGACACAAGGGTCATTCCATGGTCAATATGAATAGGGCTGTCAATTCGGTTGCCGGTTAGCGGCTAACCGGCCGGTCTAACCGTTAACCGCCGGTTAGCGGCTAACCGAAAACCGAAAATAATAAGGGTCGGTCGGTTGGCGGAGGCTGTCTGTGGTTAGGCGGTTAGCCGATTAACCGGCTAACCGACTCTAACCGACCGACAGTACGACCCCGTTTTGGCAAGCTGAAACGAACCAACCCTAGCATCCTCAGAGGCCAGAGCCTCTCCTCGAGCTTGGCGTCGATGAGATTAGAGCTGCCGCTGCTCATCGAGCTCTTCTCCATATAATATATATATATATATATATGAAATGATAGTGCTACGACGATGGAGAAACGGGGAGAGAGGAAGAAGGTGAGGGAAGGGAAGGGGAGAAGAGAGAAATGGATCCCTGGTTTTCTCCTCTAAAGGGTTTTCCTTTCCTTTTCCTTTGCTTTGCTCCCAACTTTAATTGAAGAGGCGGCAGAGAGGATAGAGAGAGAGAGTGAACAGTGGAGAAGAGATTGGATTGAAAATAGAGGAGAAAGAAAAATTATGAACTTTGCACAATCTCTCCCTTGGAGGTGTAAGCACACTCTCTCTCCTCTCTCGGCAACCGTGCTGGGTTCGGTAAAATATGTGGTGGAGAAGGAAGGATAGAGCAACCCAACGGCGGAGTTCCCAAGCTGATCCTCGTTCCCTTCGCCAAAGAAAGAAAGAAAAATAAAAATTTACACGGAAAAAAAAAAGAAAGAAAAGAAAAGCTGTCAGTCCCCTCGGTACGTTTCCCAAAACCAAGAAAAGCTGTCAGTCCCCTCTCTAATTATTGGCGGTTTTCGGTCGGTCAGGACAGCAGACCGAACCGATCATTTCTTTTGCGGTGCTGCCGGTTTAACCGCGCCTTAACCGAAACCGCCCGGTCGGTTTACGGATAACCGAGGCGCCAGGGTCGGTCGGTGGGCGGTGGTACCTGGTCAGGTCTCGATTTAGCCGAAAACCGAGAATTCGGTTTTCGGTTAAACCGAAACCGACCGGTTGCCAGCCCTAAATATGAACAAGTTCAAAGCAATTTAAACATAAACATACATAAAGATCAACCATTTTTGCACATAACACATGTATGTTTATGAAGCTTATAAGGAAGCAAGGGGCACAAAAAGAATCTCAAATGTAGGGTATATATAATTATGTAATGAGAGCTAGCCAGGATGATACACGCAATACAAGAACAATGGTTAAGAGTCTATTATTTCTGTTGTTTAATGTCGTTTTAATTATATTTTAATCTTTCATATGTTCTCCAAAATTTCTCATTCTATTTGCAATCACCATAACTCTATCAAAGTAATCATTCACAAATTCACCTTCTTTAATTTTTAAAACCTCAAACTTCCTTCTGAGTGCTTGGAGGTATTATTTATAGACTCTTGAATACTCGTGAGACTTGGTTTCATGGAGATCCACAAATCTTCCGTTGTTGCTTTGTTGGTAATTGTCTTCAGGATGCTCTTATCAGTTGACTTGAATATATAACTCTGTTCCTTTATGTCCTGCATACGCTTGCGGACAACTCTTCCCAAGCTATAGTTCATTGAAACCATCACTCACCACTATCCAATATTCCTTGGACCTCAAGACATTTTACATCACCAAACTCTAATGTTCGTAGTCCACCATCAAACCTGGGAACACAAACTTAAGAAAATCCATTGGTATCACTCACGATTACATTCACTCAACCTAGAAACAACAAATGCCTCATAATAACTCACAAATTTCCCAACCTATAAAGCATATGTGTTTCACTCGTCTCTGTTTGCTGTTTGGTTTAAGTCTACAAATAAGCTCTGATACCACAATATTGAATCAACTATGAGGCAAACTGACAAATCTTATTCCAAAACTCATAAGCAAACTTAAGTACATAGACTCTTTGCCATCAAACTAGGAAACAACCTGAACAACCTCAAACAACTCGGCCCGTCAACAATGGCCTTGACTTCTTCAACCCTGAAACTAGGACACATGGCCAAGGGTGGACCTAGGGGCATTTGGACACCCCTAAATTTTGGAAAAACGATTATCCAACCCCCGATGCTAATTTACATATGGACAAAAAAATTATAATTAATAGTCCGGGACACCTTGAAATTTGAAAAAACTATTATCCTACTCTCGTTTGTAGTTTGCGTATGGGAATATAAGTTGTAGTTTGGGTAATTCAACCCGGGACACTACTATTATCAATAAATATAATTTCCATTAGGCTACAACATTTTTTGTTGTTCTATTCTCAACACTGTGTAATAGCAAAACCCTATTCTCTATCTTTAATTATTTTCAAAACCTAACAATTAATCTAGTTACAAGCTACCCTTAATTTGTATTGATTTTATGGTTGTACGACAATTGTTATAAGTAGGGCTGGAAGTTTGGTACCGGTATTTGGTATATATCGAATACCGTACCGAATTTGTCTATATTTGGTATTACCGAATACACGTATTATTTTGTGGGATTGGGATTGGGATTAAGTTTCAATTGTTATTCGGTATTAGGAATTACGGGATTGGGATCGGTATATACCGAAATACCGATCAATACCGAAATATAAGCTATTGTGTATTTTATCCTCTCAACTAGACTCTCTCATTCACTACTACGCGACCCTCAACCACCAATAGTGTCATTTAATTATACATAGATCATTACATCACTATTTCACACTAGTATTAGTCGTCTCTCAACTTCAAATTCATCAAATTAAAGATTACTAATTACAAAAACTTGAGATGTTAGCTCTAGGCAACTCAAGACTCTTTGTTTAGTCTCTTTGCCCTAAATTAAACAATAAAATCTAATTTATATATTTAATTATTAATGGCAAAGATAATTAATTTTGTATTTGATAACACCGATTGAGATACCGAGGTACCGATTGGGATACCGAAATATTTAGGGATTGAGATTGAGATACCGAAATTATTTAGGGATTGTGAATGGGATTTATTTCAGGGTGTAATTCGGTATTCGGGATTTTGGTATTTGGTATTGGGATACCATACCGATTTCCACCCATAGTTATAAGTGTCTTTTCAACTTTGAGTTACACCAAAAACAAATTTAAAAGTCGAATATGCGTAAGTTCGTGAATGATTGTCTAGTGGATATACCGAGACAACTTTGTTGAGAAATTTAGACACCAAGTGTATTTTACAATTTTTTCCGAATATGAAAATACATCATGGACTTTTTTAATTATTATTAATTATTATTTTAATTGTTATTCATTTTTATTTTTATTTTCATTTATTTTTTTGGAAGAGGACACCCCTATGTAAAATTCATGGGTCCGCCACTACACATGGCCAACAGTGAACTCGACAGGACTCAAATGACACGAAACAAAGAGTTTGAGGACTAAAAATGTAATAAACTAAAACAACACACTTCATTCAAGCTTAAATGGATCTTTTTTTTGGTGCCAAAGTCCTTCGTGACCACGGCTCGATCTTCCGCTCCGACAAGTTCATGGCCACGAATTAACAATAACCTTTCCAAATTGATATATATTAATTAGGTCATCGCACCAAACATCAATTGCTAGCTGCAATGGGGATGAGGCGCAATAGTTGTTTGCTTGAGATGGAGAGTCCAGACTGTTTCGTCAAATCTAGGTGTTGAAGTCCAATGGGAATTTTCCAGTCAAAGTGGAAGAGCAGATTAGCTAGGCCCAGTTGAACATTAGCAAGTCCGAATAGCATACCAAGGCAAATCCTTCTTCCCGCACCAAATGGTATATACTCGAAGTGTGCTCCTTTGTAGTCAATAGATGAGTTCAAGAACCTCTCTGGATAAAACTTTTCGGGATCAGTCCAATAACTAGGATCTTTTCCGATTGCCCAGACATTAAGTAAACTCTAGTTTTTGCAGGGATCACAAAACCATTTATCTCAACTGTCTCTCTCGTTTCTCTTGGGAGTAGCAAGGAACCAGCAGGATGTATTCGCATGCTCTCTTTGATCACTGCATCTAAGTACGTCAACTCATGGAGTCGGTCTTCACTAACATTTCCCTTATCACCAAAGACTCACCGCACTTCTTCTTGTGCTAGTCGTAAAACATTCGGATTTTGAACCAACTTAGACATAGTCCACTCAGTTGTGCTCGCTGATGTATCCATACCACCAGCGAAAACATCCTGGAATGATCACAACAATATCAATTAGCAATGGTAACAATGAGAAAATAAGAATGTAGCTAGCTAGGTAACAAGTAAGAATGTGTTGTTACTAACAAGAATGACGGCTTTGATGCCGTCAGTTGTTAAGGGAAGTGGGAGGTCTTCGGTCCGTTGAATAGTGAGTAGAATGTCAACAATGTCCTCTATTTCTTCATCATCATCATCATCATCATCATTATGAGGTTTACATTTTCTATCTGCTTTGGCTCTGTGTTGATGGATGATCTCCTCAAGCACGAAATCCGCTCTCTTATGAAGTTCCATGAGCTTGGCTCGATAGCCAGTAACGACGTGGATGAATTTAAGGGAAGGGAAGAGATCTGACAACCCAAATCCTCCAATGGCATCTGTAATTCGCTCAACCACTGCCATGAAACTTTCCTTCTCTGTCACCCGCAACTTACCAAAAGCTGACCTACAAGTAAGTACAGAAGGGAGGGTAGAAAGAAAATCTCAAGTATATATATAATGATGGAATGGGAGTGCGCTGAAGCGTCTAATCAATTTTGAATGTCATGATCCGTAAATAAAATTAGTACAATTCTTTAAATTTAATTAAATTAAAAAAATTTCAACCTTTTAATTTAAAAATTGTTCTATAATTAAATTAAAAAAATTCAACCTCCGTATTATTTTTTATGGGGAGAATAATTTAATGGTGTAATAAATTGGGAGAAATTAAAACTTTTAATGTTTTAGAATTAAATTGGGGAAATTGAAGTAGAGCATTAATTGATATGAAAAGTGGAAGTTAGATTGGAGCCATTAATTTGTTATGGTTCTTTCTTTTTTTGTTTCCATGTCTAGCTGCTTGATTGGGGTAATTTTCTTTTCTAAAATTTTGTTTAGGTGTGTGAGTGAGATGTTTGAATGGGGCGGTGGGATTCGATCGATCGGCTCGTTGTTGGCATATTTTTTATTGATTGGATTTGAGTTGGTGGCTGGTCCCGGTTTTAGTGGTCAGGTCCGCTCGGCTCGTTGTTGACATTTGGAAGTATGTTATCCTTCTCTGAACTGAAGGAGGGTTGGGGATCAGGGATTTCCAGTTGTGTTATCAGGCATATTTGGGATATACTAGCAAGGGGTGGTTCTCTTTGGATTGCCTGGATCCGGAAATATCGACTGAAAACTCGCACAATCTGGGAGATTTCTCCTACATCAGTGGGGTCTTGGGTCTGGAAGTGAGTCTTAAAGGCTGGTGAAGAGGCACATTGTTTCATTACTAGCTCATGTACATTGTCCTTCTTTGAAATGGGATGGTCGGCCTATGCCCCTATACTCTAGCTATATCGAAAGTATGGCGTTCGATTAGACACTCCCTACCTTCTGTTCCTTGGGATGATTTGGCATGGGGAAAGTTTATGCACGACATACTGTTCTGGTTGATTGTTTGTGATCGAGTTCATACAAGGGAGAAGATAGCAGCATGGGGCATACCGATGGATACAGCTTGCCTGTTGTGCCCTGGTGGGATTGAAAGCCGAGACCATCTCTTAGTTGTTTGTTCCTATACCTAGTTTGTTTTGCAGCGCTACTTGACTGGTTTTTCTTCTCCCCCTATATGTCAAGACTGGGCAGCAATGTTGAGCTGGGTGTTGCAGGTGTGGAAAGGCTCTAGACTCTAGTATGAAGAAGAGGATTGGGAAGTTGCGATGGGTGACTACTATAAGTTTTGTATCGAAAGAACGGTGTAGGCGTTGTTATGGTGAAGGTCTAGTGTTGATGCCAGCTCAACTTATAGCAATAATCCGTTCAGAAGTTCGATGCTTTATAGATAGTACATAGAACCTTTGTGATTTATATGGTTTGTAGAGTAACTACTGCTGTAGTTTTGGTTTTTTTTTTTTTTTTGTGTAATGATCTGGTACACTTTGAGAGGTCCCTTAGTTAAAAGGGTACCTGGGCTTAATGGAAGTTTTTTTATTAATCATAAAAAAATTATCATAGGATTTAGATGTACAAAATTGAAGTTTAACAACTAAAAATAAATAAAATATTAAAATTGAAGGACTAATCAAACAAAAGATAAACCAGGCCAAGAAGCCAAGCCCAAATAACAACCTGAAAACTCAATAGGGCCTAGACCCAGGCCTGACCTAGACCCAACTTCAAACCCTAGCCTCCGATCGTTTTCGCCTGGCTCCTCATTGCTACTGGCAGCCACAACAAACCCTCTTCAATCCTCCCACAACCAGAATCGACTGGAATGTCTTGCTCCCTCTACTATGTCGTTTTATCAAACATGCTCCTCTACTATTTTTTACATCAAACATGACCTTGTACTTTGGTAAAACTATCAAACTTGTCCTTTTGTTAAAATTTTCAGTAAAAAATCGTCAACCATGGTTGAACCGAGATTTAGACGACCCGACATCGGCAAATAAGATGGAAAATGTCAGTTTTGTCCCATGATTTATTTCTTTAGGTCTCGTTAAGTGAAATTGTTAGAGGTATTTGGCTATACAAAAGAACCAAAAAAATTCTAAAGTTAAATTATTAGAGATATTTTAGACATTTGTGTCGACCAAACCAAGGTTCGACCGTGTTATGTTTACAGTTTGATGTTAAATAATTTATTTATTTATTTGTAGGTGAATGCCACATTTGGTCACTGGATTACTAAATCGTGTTATGTTTAGTCACTAGAAAAAATTAATATCAATTTTAATCACTCAAATTACTAAAACAGGTCACATTTAGTCAATCTCATGTTAGCCTCCGTCCAACTCCGATCACTCGAATTACTTTTTTTTATGAATGTCACTCGAATTACTGAAGCATGTCACATTTAGTCAACTCCGTTAGCCTCCATCCAACTCCGTTAATGCAGTTGGATAGAAACTAATGGGAGAGTGACTAAATGTGACATGTTTCAGTAATTCAAGTGACCAAAATTGATATTAATTTTTTCAAGTAACTAAACATGACATGATTTAGTAATCTCAGTGACCATATATGACATTTACCCTTTATTTGTTGGATTCAAGTAAGATGTTTGAATGTTAATGTTAAATATTGTATTAAATATGAAAATATGTCATTTTGTTTGTAATGTTGTATCTTATTTAAACATGAATATAGATTATGGTAAAATTGTATTGAGATATGTTGCATGTGCGTGGTCTTGCTAGTTTCCCACTTTTCATACATATATTTTGTTAAAAATGACGTATACCATTTAAATGTCGGTAGGACAATATCGTTTGCTAAACTAGTGTAATAGTATAAACTGATTTGACAGCCTGGTGGGCCTATATAACCCTTTTATTATTGGTAAATAAATCATATAAGATGCTACTGTAATCATCCAAACATAGTTAGTAAAATACAGTATTGGTATCTTACAATATTTATACGTATACAGTTTTATTCATCATTTTAATATAACAACACGTTTGAAAGTTCGAAATCAATTATAGTATAAAAAAATTATAATCATAATTTAAAATTAAATATGAATATTAGTAGAATATCAACAAATTTTGATAAAACACATATATAAAACGTGTTATACATGTTTAGTACGTGAGACATCAACCAAACGGAGAAAAAAGAAAACACTAAGAAAACAAAAGTATGCGAATACGAGTATTAAACGGATTTTCGGTATCTATGCATCCAAGTACCTGTAAGTGATGTTGCTGGTCATCGAAAAAAGCATATCCCTGAGGTCGACGCCCTCCTCACCACACGCAGTTGCAGCGACACGAATGTGGGAGACGAGAGTGGGCACCTCCTCTTCCCTGGTGGAGCGGAACGAAGAAACGCGCCTGGCGCTGAGGATCTCCACGATGCACATCTTACGCATCTGGCGCCAGTAGTTCCCGTAAGGCGCGAAGCCGATGCCCTTGCAGCCGTAGAAGATGATGCTCCGATCCCCACCAGGAGACTGGGCCTGGTAGCGAAGACCAGGTCGTGGGTTTTCAGCACCAGTTTGGCGGCTTCTGGGGAGGAGATGACGACGTTGGCCACCTCCCCGAGCTGCAGGCTCATGACGGGCCCGTATCTCTGGGCCAATTCCCTCAGCCGGATGTGGGGAGCTATCGAGGCCTCCACTGTACATCAGCTGGTGTACGTTCCCAAGGATGGGCAGGGCAGCTTCCATGGCCCTGGCGGCGCTGCTGCAGATCTCTTGGCCGACAACACTCGATAGCCCCAAATGAAGGATGCTAAAAGTAGTAGAACAATTGGGATCAACATCATAATTTTGACGCTACAGATGGGGCCTCCGTTAGCTATATTCCTTCCTCAGGCTATCTCTCTATTCTTCTTGGTAGTATGTCCAAATGTGAATTAAGGATTAGGAACTGGTTGATGTCTTCTCTTTATAGGAAGATTGGAGGAGGGAAGGCAACAGTTGACTTCCGGCCGGCCACCAATGAGGGAAATTGAACCCAATGATTATCACTAAATTTCAGGCTAATGGTGTATTGTAGTTATAAGATTAATTTTGTTGAATTTTTATGATTATTTTCTTGTGTTTTCCTATTATCAAATTTAGTTTTGTCTTTAGTGGACTCGCGTCTTTTTTACATGCTATACACACCGTCTCATAATCGTCATTCTGAACACGCGATTTATGTCAAAACGATGTCAATCTTATTTTCTCTATTTTCTTATGACGAGAAAACCTTAGCCACGGATACCACATTCTTGACACCACAAGCAGGTTAAGTCCCAAGACGTCAATCATCGCGGCCACATTATTGATAGTTGGTCTGGCGTGTGCTACTCAAGCGAGGCCTAGCAGCGGAGGAGGGGGATTGAACACATGTGACATGACCTCCATGTGCAAGTGAACTTATTTTCGCAAGTGAACTTATTTTCGTAAAAATATAGGGAATTTATTTTTTTAATTCAATAATCATGATCAATAAGTAATTTGGGACATTACAGTTTGGTTTAATGATTGAATAATGAACTCTACTCACAAGAAGTCACCAGCTAGGGTGATTGTCAACTGACAAAGCCCTTTTTCTTAATTGCAAAGGACGTAATACCCCAGCGATTGATAATAGTTAAGAAACAACAATTTTTAGCCTCTAGGCAGCTTATCCCATCAGCTGCAGGATAATTATTGGCTTTTACCTGCTCGTTCAGAGGGGTTAACACTTACATGTTCAACAAAATAATTATCAGGTCACTAGAATTGCAAGAAAGCAGCCACCACCAAATATCCCCTCGTCGTTACCATCGTTTAGCTTTGAGTTCAAAATGAAAACATGATTTGGGTAGGTTTCTAGGGCCTTGTTTATGGTAATCCGGTTTTCGGTTATCCGATTTTGACACAGTTTTGACACTGACCGAATTCATCTGGGTTTTTTTGCTATTTTCGGGATTAAATACAGAATTGAATTATTTTACAGTCGATCCCGATCTTAAACAGTCTAGGTTATACGATTCGGTTTCCGGTTAAATATAAAAACCCGAACCAAATATTCAACTGTAATGGTGACGACTCAGATCCAACAACTCCAGTCACAAAAGGACACAGATGTTGATCAATCGCCAACTTATGTATTATTGTAGCCATTGTAAAAGGTTTGTCAAACATCAAACTATAAATACGTTGGGATGTAAACATCTCGATGCGCTTGTTTCAATTGAATCACATTTTAGATTCTTAATATATGGTAGCTTATGTACTACACTCCAAAAAAAATTATATATTATGCACCTAATTCTAAAACTAGTATTAAGACAACGAAATTTTGAATCTTAATTGGTAATTAGTATAATATATATACGATGATATAAAATAGGATCCGAACTAATCAATGCTTACCCTTAAGTCCTACTCTTTCAATTATAAACTCTAACCCTAAATCTTTCAAATCAAAATAAACGTTGAATGATTTTTTTTTTTTTTTTGCAATTTCATATGTTTTATAGTCCATTGTATCACAAATACTTACGATTGACATGTTTTCGCATGAATCGCTTGCTCATAATGACGATTATGATGTGGGTGTATAGCATGCAACCAAAAAAGTGAGTGCATCGAATACAAAACCATTAATTAGTGTTTATAAGGGTTGTATATATAATATGCCCATTTACTATGCATTTTTATTAAACATACCCTCTTCTATTTTTTATATCCAACATACCCTTATAGTTTATAAAACTATCAAACATGTCCTTCTATAAAAATCTTCATCCAAAAACCACCAACCATGGTATAATTGTGGTTTGGAAGACCCAGCCTTGATAAAATTGAACGTAAAGTTTCAGTTTTGCCCCTCTTTTTTTTTTAAGGAAGTTTTGCACCTCAAATTCAAGTTAAAGTAAAACTTTTAAAGACTTTGAGCTATACAAAAGAAATCAAAAAATATTATTGTGAAAATATGAGGCATATTTTAGACATTTGTGTCACTCAAATCATCGTTTGATCATTGGTGACGGGTTTCTTATGCAAATTTTAACAAAAGAGCATATTGATAATTTTTTCAAAGTATAGCATTATGTTTGATATAAAAAATAATAAATGAGCATATTTGATCAAATGCATAATAGAAGAGCATTTTATACCTATAACTCTATATATAAAGAGCAAGTTGATTGAAAGGGTATTTTTCTTGAATATTTTCGATTCCTTTTTCAATTCCGTCATTTTTTATTTTTTACACATGTTTTTTACCGTTTTGATAATTGGTTTGCCTATTGGTCAAGGGTTTTTTTTTCATTTCTTCTTTTTCTATCCTTTTCTTTTATTTTTCGTTTTTACATATGTTTCTTCCTCTTCTGAGAGAGAGAGTGCTGAGAGGATCTTCGAGCGGAGAGGAGACCAAACGTTTTTTGTTTTGCAGGTCCGACGTAGCAGGAATCGGCAGCAGCAGTGAATCGAAGGAAGTTTGTACACAGAAAGAGTATTTTGGTCCGAAAATCATCTCAGTTTCCAAGTCAAACAGGAGCATAAACGAAAATGTTTATCGCCTCCAGGCTGAGGACTCTCTGAAAACCTGGTTCATCTTTATGGACGAACAGCAAATTTCTTGGCTTCAAGGCCTTCTCCAATCGGCTGCTATGAGGAATTGGTACTTCCCTCGTAAGTCCCTGTTGAAGAGTAGAGGCCGAATCATTCATGTCGGAAGATCATCCAACCGTGGTTCTCATTATCTTCAAATTTCAGAACAAAGAAGAAACGGAAAGGTCTATAAAATTTCAATACCTTCTGATGGCGGATGGGCCAAACTCATAAGCCATCTTCAGCGCTTTTACGCTTCCGAACTTCAGAATCGTCTCAGATCCACTTACAATATCTGCCTGCACAATCTGCCTCTACCTCCCTGTCAATCCTCTCATACGAATGCAGGTAGATCTTATGCTGATGTGGTCAAAGGTGTTGGTTTCTACGCAGCAGGAAAGTGTAAGATCGTCGGACAAGGCAAGGATAAACATATTGAGGTTGATTCTGACGGAGTGCAAGAGAGGCGGGAATTACTGGGTAGATGTCTTATCATCAACTTCTAGAGCCTCAAAGCTTCAGAGATCTTTACAACTGATTCTATTCATAGCTTTAGAGAATGGGCTCACAGGAGATGGTCAATTGATGATAATTACGGCATATAAAACAGGGGGAATGGGAGTTGGATTCTTATCTGCCCAAGCATCGCTCAGGCTCTTCGCATTAAGAGGTTAGGACAACTCAAGTTCAAAGATTTCTTAGTCTCTGTCTCTAAATGGAAAGATCATGAGGAGAGGTACAGTAATTCGGATATGTGGATTCTCGTTTACGACATTCCTTTGCATCTCAAAAGCATCAATCGCATGATAACTATCGGTAACTTCTGTGGGTCTTTCATTGAAATTGATTGGTCATCTTGGAGCTTGGAATTCGTTCGGATCAGGATAATGCGCAAAGGCGAAATCCCTCTTTCAATTCCTGTCCGCTATGCATCTGATCGATTCATGATCAACATCATACCTCCGCCGGCAACCTTTGATGCTGTCGATGAAGCAAATAGTTATTCTCAATGGGTTCAGAAGTCGAAGAGTCGAATCCCTGTCTTGCCACATCGATCTTCGGATAACACTTCATGCCAAACCAATCCGAACCTTCCATTGGTTAACGCCTCCCAATCTGATTCCGAGGAAAACAAAGATGAAGGCGAACAGTCATGCAGGTCTATCAGAAGAGTGTGGGTCCGGAAAGAGGGCCCTATTTTGATCAAACCCTCAGCCATCTCCCCCGCAAGCCCTCTTGTTGACTCCTCTTCCTTTGACTTAACCCCCTCATCTCAAGCCCAACCCCCTCCGACCCAATTGCCTCAAGCCCAACTCCCTCTGACCCAATTCCCTCTGACCCAATCCTTCTCTAACCAAATCCAAACCCTACTAGCCCCGACCTATCTTTCTGCAGCACTCAACTTTTTCTTTGAAGCCTTGTCTATTCCCAGTCCTTTTCAATCCCTTCTCCCATTTCCATTTTCGATTGCTGTAACTCAATCCACCATTTCCTCATCTGTTCTGATCCTTCCTCTCTCAAACCAGGCTCTCTTCATATCCATCCCACAACCTCCAGTAGAACTTCCCCTCTATCTTTTTTCCCCAAGCCATTTCTCCTCTTCCTCTTCTCCCTGATTCCCCTTCATTTCCCTCCTCCCCTGAACCTCCATCCCCGACCTCGCATACTTTCTCTGATGCAGACCTCTTCCTCGCATCTCAAATTCCTGAATCGGTTGATCTCCAAGCTCCATCTTTCTGCCGGGTTTTTGAAGAGCTCCCCTCGCCTTCATGCTCTCAAGCAACTGAGGATGTCAATTGGAACTTAGAGGCATATCCTTTAGATCTCTTATCCCTGGTCGAGTCAAGTGTGAATCTGAGTCACATTTTCTCTCTGGGTCATGATGAAGGAATGGATTCTGCTGAAAAGGTGATAAGGGAAACTGCTAAGGAAGTACACAGCAAGAAAGTGAGAACTCCACGGTCTAGACTTGGACCTCAATCATCTCCTCCTAAAGGTCCAAGGAAAAGTGCTAGCAGGATAGCTGGAGTATATCATCAGTAAGGATATGGGTTTATCAGTTTTCTTTTGGAATGTTAGAGGTTTAGGTGATTTTCGGAAAAGAGGCAGAATAAAGCGGTTAATCTCGAAGCACAAAC